TGTATTAATATCCAGAAACATGTCCATCTTGTTCTAAGAGCTTGCGAGTCGTGATGGTTGAGCCGCTGGGTAGCTAACGAGTGAAGAGGGATACACTGATGTGACGAGTGTATCTACATAGGGATTCCGCGAGTCAAGGCACGCAACTTTGTCTGAAAGTCTTAATCAAATAATTTTTAATATTGTTCAAGTTATTTTAGGAGAATGTGTTATTTTTTAATATGTGGCATGTTGAACTGCTTAAATATACTAATAATAATAATTATTGTTCAATATTGAATTGACATCAATAGATTATTAATTGCCTTTTGTAACATTCTAATAATATAATAAATTTGTCACTAGTAACAACGATTTAGTATATTTCGTTAGTCTATGATAATATGTTGTACTGGGAGACATGCATGATAATTTACCGATACCGTACCGTTACCGAACCGAAACTTTGGTATACCGAAATGGGTATACCGAAACTTCGGTAAGGTAACGGTATATAAATTTTGTATACCGAAAGTTTTGGTACGGTAAAGGTATGAGAGAAAATATTCGGTATACCGTACTGAACCACCCCTAATTAGAGATCTTCAATGCAAATGCGTGAATAATGCACGTGTAATATGAGAGATATAGACAAAAGAAAGAATGAATTAATAGAAAATTTTTCTCTTTTCTTCCATGCCATAATAAATTTTGGTTACTTTTTATTCATAATATCAAGTACAATGTTTAGATCTAGATGGTATCTTGACATTGAGTATAAAAATACGGAGTAATTGAATATCTATTACACCGAATTTGAACTCATTTCTATACCAAGAGTTCATTGTGTGGCGAACAAAGAATTTTAGCGTGAGTGCAAGAATTGACAGGAAGAACATTATTATCCTTTTAAGAGCATCTGTTCTCTTCATTCAGTATACCAAGTGTATAATAAGTGTATTGGTGAATGACTTAATTTAAATGCATGTTGTTAGTGTAGAAGCCTAAGCCGCTAAGCGTATTGTAATCGTCTAACAAATTCCCTCAAACCTACGACAAATTATTACAGCTCTAACTTTTCTACTCTCCCTCCTAATTATTTGTGTACTGTCATTCAGCCAAATATATCACAAAAACTTTGGGTTGAAGATATATTAACCTCAAGGGTGTATTAAATTTAATAAAAGAAATAATTATGAAATACATATTTATGACTAAAATAAAGATTGTTTACAAAAATGTGATTAGAGAGTAGTAATGGAATCATAGTAACTTATGTTCATTTTAAAACTTAAGTTAACATGACACTATATTATAGTAATTATTAATCATATTTGTATAAACAAGTTTTATTTTTTATAATATTTTTGAAAAAACTTCAATTGAAAAATACCAAAAGATAGTACGGAGTATATATCAACATTTAAGAAGGGGCAATACTGTAGCACCGTCCCAAATGCGTCCATACTCTAGCTTCTAAAGAAACACATGTGAGAATCAGTGGATGTAGAGTATGTAAGGTCAAAATTTTTGAACAAAAATTAAGTTGTCTCGATAAAATGTAGGGTAAAAATCTTTGTGAAATACAGTCAAGAAGAGACTGACGGAGTTTATAATTAAAATAATTTAAATAAATAAAATAAAAGTAATAACAAAAAATATAAAGAGCCCAATCCTTTAGTAGAGGAACTTACTTTTTAGTCAACAAATTATCATAAATCTCTTTAGTGGTGGGGTAAAAAATCCATTGATTTCGAAGCTTGACTTTTCGTCAAAGTATGTCTCCCACAAATCATCTTAAATATTCCAATAAATTGACCAAATCAATTAACTAAATGGACACGTGTGATTTGTACACTCTCTCCCGTTTTATGATTTATGCCATTATCTGTGTCTTACTCCGTATACTCCGTATTTTATTTATAATTATTATACACGGAGTATTAAATATAAAATACACATAAAAATGAGAAAAAAATCATATTCGGTCCTACGATTATTCTATTTACTTTCATTTTCGGTATTTGACTCTCATTTCTTAATTTTGATACACGATTGTTTTTATTTTTAGTCATTGACTTTCACTTTATCTTTTGAATTTTGATGTAGGAATATGAACTTTTTACCACTTCTGAGTTGTGACCATCCGGATCGGAATATCGGATGATTTGTTAGGCCAATTTCTATGCATATGAGGTGGACTTTTAAACGTACAAGTGATCAGATCAAAATTGGCAAGATATTCATAATCGTTAATCAAATATAAATTAAAATTAGAAGTAAAATATTTACTCTAATACTCTTTTAAAAATACAGGGTCGTGCCAAAATTGACGAGAAGCAAAATATTGTTCTGCTCAGGACCAAATTGGCAAAATATCAAGAATAAATATGTTTCCAAGTATTACATGAGTTTATAAAGCTCAACTCGAGTACCGGCAAACACTTGAACGTAATCCTAAGTTCCTAACTATCACACGACAACTATAAACCCTTGTATTTATACTAATAGTAGTTTACAAGAATTACAAATATGTCCCATAAGAATAGATTATTAACAACCACCGTGGAATGTAACCTTAACCACTGCCACCACACGCTGTGCTATGAAACTATGCACCACCAGTGACTAGTGATGGACCCGGTTCGGGCCACCCGGCCCCGGCCCGCTACTGTGTGGGCCCGGCCCGGTGCTTCGGGTCCCAAACCGGTCTTTTGACCTAGACAGTAGTGTTTAGCGGGGCAGGCTCGGGTTGAAGAAAAGGTGACCCGGCCCGGCCGAGCCCGCTTCACGCCAATTTTTTTGTTTTTGTTTTTTTCAATTTTTTTTGGTTCCCCCCAGGTTGGGCGGGGTGTTTGGGAGGGGGGGGTAGTTAGGAAAGCAAAAAAAATTATAACCAGGCCCGACCCGCACCGGACCCGGTGGATCACCGGGTCGGTTCCGGGCCTACATATTAAACCCCAAAAGCCTGACGGGCCGGGCCCGACCGGGCCCGGGTCCATCACTACCAGTGACCAGTGTTTGTACAAGGACAAATTGCCGCACATCTCAAGACCCAAATTGAAATCGTCCGTCACCAACCCTAACAATGGCCTAATATCTTACTCGTATCTTTTTATCTTTCTTTTCTCTCTGGCTCCAATGCCTTGTATCAGTTTGCGTTAACTAACCCCAAAAATTGGATTTTAATCCTTTTTATATCTTATTCCAATGTCTTTATTGACTATCGATTCATGTTAGCTCCTAAAATCTTTTGAGACCAAAACCTGAATGGTACTATTGCTGGTGAAGAGCTAAATCATTTCAAGAAACGGATTCAACAACTTATTCCCTTTTTAGGACATGAGCTCGACCTTCAAGTCAAAACAACAATGACAACATTGACTACATATATGTACATGACGTGTTTAACTCCCCAATGCGTGATTCGCCTAAAGACCTAAAAACCAGTGTTACCAGTCTATGCATGTTTACATTTTAAAAAAGGTCTTAAATTCAATACTAGCAATGTCCAACTCAAAGGACGTTGTACCCCTCAATCCACATGTGTGTTTCCCACTTTCCCTTGGACCAATTTATGCATTTATATAATTCAAAAGAGACTCAAATTCAATACTCTCAATACATTCATACCCAAAGACGTAAGGGGTCCCACAAAACGAGCCCTGCTTTAGCAACCGTTCGTATACTATGGTATCACCCCACGGTGAGCACCGTGCTCCCACACCCAAAACAACGTAATTTTGCACAATTTTTTTAAAAAAAAATCGTGTGAACAATAACGCGTGAACAGTAACTGTTTTTTTGTCGCAGTAATATGAACGATGTAACTCGCGTGTAAATTAATGTAACTCATGTTATTGATCGATGTAACTCAAGTCCAGTCGAAATGTAACTTGTCAAATACATAGTATAAGAAATAAAAACATTGATTTCAACGTTAACAATGAAAAAAAAAGTCTAATTGCTCATTACTTTACATAAATAGTGAATATTTTTGTTTTTAATATCAAAGACATAAAGATTATTTGAAAAAAAAATTGTTGTTTCAGTAGGAGAGGTAATCTATGATGTAACTCGTGTTAGGCTAAATGTAACTTGTGTTGATAGAAAATGTAACTCACAGGTATGCGAAATGTAACTTACACTGATATAACTCGCTTATAAAATGATGTAACTTGTGCATAAAATGATGTAACTCAAGCTTAAAAAGATGTAACTCGGACACAAGAAGATGTAATTTCTTATATTATCAAATCTAACTTTAGGCAAATTCTGATGTAAGTACATGTATTTTCAAATGTAATTTGAACCAAATCAATTTATAAATTGTCTAAACTCCCCTTCGTATAAGTACAACTGTATAAGTATAATATATAAAATGAAATCAAATCAATTTATAAATCATCTCTTCGATCATCTCTTTTATTCATCTCCAGCATCTTGATCATCATATAATCCATCAACAAAGCAGTCGACGGTTCTATTAGATGTTAATCGATGCTCCAGTTCCATGTTTCTCTTTGATTTGTGATTTGATACTCTTTTGATCTCAGGCTGAAGATGAATGAACTGATGCTCTGTTTTTATTTTGCTGTGATCGATCGATTGATGAAGTCGGCGTTGTTTATAATTAACAAAGTGATGTCGTTTTGAGATCGGCACACCGTGAGCATGGTGGGCCGATCCCACGGTATAATTTGCGCTTTAGCAACAACAAAATCAAGAACAATCCTGTTTATCCACATGACATACCTGTTTGACTCCCCATGGGTGTTTCAGTTAACCCGATCTATGCATGTAACTCTTGTAGTCTTGTGGGTGTTTCAGCTAAAGCCAATCGATGCATGTATATAATTCAAAAACTCAATACTCGCATAGTCGCATAGTCAGCAATGTCACACTCGGAGGATATGGTGCCCCTATTATTGATGTGTGGGTTGTATTTCACTCTTTAAAATTGCTTGCATATAGTTAACAGCCTAGCAGGTTTCACATAAACAAGTATGAGCTTAAGGTGCCTTCCCAAAGTCCACGACCCAAAAATTGCCACTTGCTATTTCATATGATCACATCTGCATTATGCATATATGCATATACAAGAATAGATGCATTTACAAGAATACGCTTCTTTATAATCATCACATAAATTTTCAAGCTTAGTACATACTCGTGATGCACAAGGGTCCTATTATACAGCCTGAGATCCAAGGCGGAAAAAAGAACACTTGCTGGACTCGGGAGATTATTATAAAATTACAAAAAGATCTTCTGTATCAGCCTAACACCCTACCCAAAAGGGAAAAGCTCTCTTCATCAGCTGAGCGGTACAGGAACTTTTCCAATTGACTTGAGCACTTCTTCTCCCATTTCCCTGCATCCCACTAATTTCTGCAAAAAAGACTCACCTCAATCATGAATGTCATATGCAAAATATAGCTGCCTAAAGTCAAATAGTCATGCATTACTAATGTTTCCTAAAATAACATCAGTCAGTCATCAAGAGTAACAGGGCACAATGACTCATTTATATATCTATATTATATGTAAATAACTACCACTGAGATTTATGAAGACTGCAGTTGGACTCATTTCAATCAAGACTAGATCATATCAGAAAACTTTAGTCTAAACAAACAGGTCCTTAATACAAATAATTTGGACATTGCAGGCTTTGATTCACCAAACAGTGAGACTTCATTTTGTTCAAAAGAAGTTGGAATATGGAATCATGATATTGAAAGAAGGAAAAAAGGTGGGCGGACATATATTGATCAACATAGGCATAGCTAGACATCTTTTATTATTAAAAGAACAATAAAAGAAATACATACCTCATCTCCCGCAGCATATATATCACTAGTGCGGAATCCTTGATTTAGAGTGTCTAAAACGGCTGCCTCGATCCTCTGAGCAGCCTTCTCCTCTCCTAAACCATACTTGAGAAGCATAGCAGCGCTAAGCACTGTTGCTAAAGGATTTGCTTTATCCTGCATGTTGAAAGCCAATAAAGATGAGGCAGCTCATTTTCATAGTGACGTGTAGGCAGTATTATACCTAACAACTAGTCACGAAACCAGAAAACCAACCTGTCCAGCAATATCAGGAGCAGACCCGTGTATTGGCTCAAATAATCCAGGTCCCTACAGTCAAACATTCCACAAGAGATGCTCAAGTACACATAATAATTAAAATTATAAGAATAAAAATAAAAGCCACATTAATGATAAATTGACGATTACAAGACAACCAACAACAACAACAATAATAATAATAATAATATAACATCCAAGCCTTAGTCCCAAAAGATTTTGAGGTCGGCTAACACGAATCGGTACATGATATCGGATCCAAAAATAAAGGAAAGATAAAAAGATAAGTTAAGATAAAAGGATAAGATAAAGATAAATATGACAACATAAAAAGGATAAAAGAATATATATATAAAATAAAAAGGATAAAATGATAAATAACATAAGAAAGATAAAGAAGATAAAAGAAAAAAAGAGAGAAAAGGGAGAAAGTAGATCAATCCTCCATACAAATATTCGCCCTCCACTTTGCTCTCTACAAACCCACACTCTCATCCAACCCAAGAAGAAGCATCACTCCCGATTCCTCTAATAATAATATTAAAAATAATAATAATAATAATAATAATAATAACGATAAAAATAATAATAATAATAATAATAATAATAATAATAATAATAATAATAATAATAATAATAATAATAATAATAATAATAATAATAATAATAATAATAATAATAATAATAATAATAATAATAATAATAATAATAATAATAATAATAATAATAATAATAATAATAATAATAATAATAATAATAATAATAATAATAATAATAATAATAATAATAATAATAATAATAATAATAATAATAATAATAATAATAATAATAATAATAATAATAATAATAATAATAATAATAATAATAATAATAATAATAATAATAATAATAATAATAATAATAATAATAATAATAATAATAATAATAATAATAATAATAATAATAATAATAATAATAATAATAATAATAATAATAATAATAATAATAATAATAATAATAATAATAATAATAATAATAATAATAATAATAATAATAATAATAATAATAATAATAATAATAATAATAATAATAATAATAATAATAATAATAATAATAATAATAATAATAATAATAATAATAATAATAATAATAATAATAATAATAATAATAATAATAATAATAATAATAATAATAATAATAATAATAATAATAATAATAATAATAATAATAATAATAATAATAATAATAATAATAATAATAATAATAATAATAATAATAATAATAATAATAATAATAATAATAATAATAATAATAATAATAATAATAATAATAATAATAATAATAATAATAATAATAATAATAATAATAATAATAATAATAATAATAATAATAATAATAATAATAATAATAATAATAATAATAATAATAATAATAATAATAATAATAATAATAATAATAATAATAATAATAATAATAATAATAATAATAATAATAATAATAATAATAATAATAATAATAATAATAATAATAATAATAATAATAATAATAATAATAATAATAATAATAATAATAATAATAATAATAATAATAATAATAATAATAATAATAATAATAATAATAATAATAATAATAATAATAATAATAATAATAATAATAATAATAATAATAATAATAATAATAATAATAATAATAATAATAATAATAATAATAGAAAGCCTACACTTGTAAAGGGAAATGCAGAAAAAGATAGTCATACCGATTCTCCAACACTGGCAGATGGAAGCATCCCAATGCTTCCAGTAATCATTGAAGCTTCATCAGATAAAATATCGCCAAATATATTGTTTGTTACAATTGTATCAAACTGCAATAGAGTACTTGCAATTATTACCATTTTGTCTATATAATACTACGTGTATGTAGTATACTAGTATCATTCTATATTTCTATCTCATAGAAAAGGTCAACTTAGATCTGCAATAGAGTTTTGTGAAGAGTAAAAAAAGTAAACTGATAAACCCACCTGTTTTGGATTGCGAACGAGCTGCATTGCAGCATTGTCCACATACATATGTGAAAGTTCAACATCGGGATATTCTTTGGACAACTCCGTCACAATCCTTCTCCAAAGCATAGAGGACTGGAAAATACAATAGTGAGGCATATTTATTTTCACATTTTTTCATCAACTACTTCAGGTGAAGTATAGTACAAAGATGCAAGTGCAATGTGAAGAAGAGCATGACAAATCTTTGCAAAACAGGGGAGAAATGTGCATTTTATTTTTTGTAAGACATTTTGTTTTCACCCCATTTTTAAGACAGATTTGAGGTTGCAACCTATTTTCAAAATAATTAGTATTTAAGTATTTACACCCCAATGTTCAAAAGATCTGTTAAAAATGTGGTGCAAACTCTAATTTCGAAGAAAAATGTGGTGTAAACTTTGATTTTTAGGGTTCAAACTTCAAAGACTGCTTATTTTGAAAATGGGGTGCAAACTCCAATCCCCCTCAATATATGTGTACTGTGTCCTGGGTAAACCATGTAAGAAGTAAGAACTGACCTTGCAACCTATTTTCAAAGTAATTAGTATTTACACCCCAATGCTCAAAAAAACTGTGAAAATGAGGCGTATAAACTCTAATTTCGAAGAAAAATGGTGTGCAAACATTAATTTTTAGGGTGAAAGACTGCTTATTTTGAAAATGGGGTGCCAACATCAAGTCATCAACCCCCCTTGATATATAATTGTACTGTGTTTTGGGTAAACCATGGAAGAACGTTTTTACTTTCGGTCCAACGACAATCAGGTCATTTTCACTTGTGATTTTCAACATTCATTTTCTCATTTTTGTGCATGACTGCGAATTCCTTGAAGATTTTAGTACTTCTAACCACTTATCTGGCCAACTTCTGTACGATTTATGTTCGATTTTGGTCAGAGAAGTGACTTTAAATTACCAAATGTGACAATAAATCCATACTACTAAAAGTGGTAAAAATCAACGTCTAGAATCAATGGAGGGAATTGGTAATGGCACAAAGCAGCAAGATCAAAATTTTAAAAACAAAAAACTACCTTGTTATATTATCAATTACAAGCAGGGGACTTTCATTATTTTTTATTACAAGTCATTTTTCAGTAACAAGAATGGGACTTTTATCATTAACAAAGATAGTGTTTGCTCCAAATAGAAAAGAATCAGAAGCTTGAGAAGTGATGCATACATGAAAAGTAAAACTGCTTTAATACTTGGTACCAATTTATCATAATATACCTCCAACACATTTGCTTTATCAACTGAACAAAGTTTTCCTCTACGCTTTTTCGCAGTTTCAAATGCCACACGAGCAATCCGTTCTACCTGGAAAGAAAATATCATGTGATTATAACAATGTTCTATACGATAAATACATAAATCGTCCAACAGGAAATGTGATGCCAAATGTATGCATGTGCATATCTGAAGAGTCAACTCCAAAATAAGTATATTTCAATCTACTACTAAAAAATTTGCTACACTGAAATAGAATTAAAGATATTTAAACTCTACTACTGAATTTATTATAATATTTTACCTCATGAGAAGCATACACTTCAGTATTGAAACCAATTTCATGACCATATTCATTTCTGTCAAAACCCCTTGGTTTTCCAAAATAAATACCTGTTGACAAATTAAAATAATCAGATAAAGTGATAACACTTCTTTTTGTAAAGATGATGTAAATAAGATAATAAAACTGCAAGAACTAAATAAAATAATGGCTGTTTAGACTATCTAAACTGACCTCCAGTAAGTTCCCTTACAACCATTAGGTCTACTCCTTCTGCAACCTCTCTCTTCAGTGTTGAAGCATCTACCAACTGAGTCACGAGGGTATTTAAGATTTAGACTATATGAACGATGACCTCAATTCTACCCCCTACCCCCCTCCAAAGATAACTTTTTATTCTTTCTTTGCATACTAAAAAAAAATCACTCCCCTGGAACTACAACAAACACTTAACCCCTAAATCTAGCAAGATATTCATAGATTTTCTTCTATATACTTTATTTTTTCAATCAGCTATTGATGCTTAAAAAATTAACGAGTTAAAATTTAATACATTGCTCAAGTCACAAAAAGTTTATTTGATTTCGAATTTTTCTATGGAGGACTAATCTAAATAGTGAAGATCTACAACTATAGATGTGATCTTGATGCCAAGCACCTTGATTTCAAAACCTATCCAAGTCAAGGAGTGCATTATTATCGAACAGATACTATAAATAGGTTGAAGGGGAGCCTTGGCACACCGATTATAGTGCTGCCATGTGACTGAGAGGTCACGGGTTCAAGTCTTGGACCCTCCCCGGACCCTCGCCTTGCGGGGACGCCAATGTGCACCGGGCTGGTCCTTTTCTATACTATAAATAGGTTGTATTAGTTACGAAAAAAGGCATCTTGATGAATGAATTGACATTTTCAGAATATAACTCTGAAACAGTCAAACATGTAATATCTGTTTGGGTATTTTAGTACTTCTATCTGGACTACCATTGATCATGGTCAAGGAGATTAACTAATTCTGTTTATCTTCTGGTAATAGTAAAGAAATAAAACTAGAAAGTAAATCACATATATGCAACAACAACATCCAAGCATTATTCCCAAAAGATTTTGGGGTCGGCTAATATGAATCGATCCATGATATCAGAGCAAAAAAGAGAAGAAAGATAAGAAGAAGAAAAAGATGAAGTACGATAAAATGGATAAGATAAAGATAAAAATAACATAAGAATATAAGAAAGATAAAAAAGATAAAAGAGCATATGACGGATAATAGATAAAAAAACATAAGAACATAGAAAGATAAAGAAGAAAGAGAAAACGAAAGAGGAAAGAGAGAAAAAAGATCAATCTTCCAAATCACAGATGTGCAAGGCATATTAATCCAACGGAAACCAAAGAAGTCATGTGTGAAGCAAACTTAAGACACAAATTTCTATAAAACTAAATGAAAAAATAGGGGAGTAATCTTCAAAAAACATCCAAACAAATCCAACCACATTTTAGTTTTTTTAATGGTAACTTATGACATGAAGAAAGGCAAATGACCATCATTGTACATAGCAACAGAATACGAGTGAAACCATCAAAGACTTCAATAACCACTTCTGTCCAGATGAAATTACCTGTGGCAATACTGACGCTGGTCTGAGGTTCGCAAATACCTTAAGACCCTCTCGAAGCTGAAGCAATCCGGTCTCTGGCTTCAAGTGTTTTTCGTTGGTGTCCCACTTATACCTTTATCAGAGATTGTCACATACAATGAATCAAACAAGACAGTTCATATATGACAATTACCCCATAAAACTGTATATCATCATTTTTAGCACCTTGAGCCCAAACAGTTCGGCACAGTGGCATTAAACTATAATGCCAATTCGCCAATCAGTTGTATAAAATTACTTAATGGTATAAATTCATGCAAAAAAGTGGTAACTGTGTCTTGAGCCGGGTGCCCTTCACTCCCACCTCATCAACCTTAAAAAGAAGGAATAATTAGATGAACATATCCATCAACGATATAGGTTATTTCACATGCAGGGATAAAATTGAAGGTAATGAGCTGGATATTGCTATCCCCCATGCCTATTAAATAATTGATATTGCAAGACCACTATCGAGATAATGGAACATTACCAACCACATAAAACAATACAACAGGTATAAACTGCTCACCCTCCTATAGCTCCAAGAAGAACAGCATCAGATTGCTTTGCAGCTGAAAGAGTCTCTTCAGTCAATGGCACTCCAGTCATATCAATAGATGCCCCTCCCATAGGCATCTCTTTGAAAGAAAACTCAAGTCCTGCAACATTTTCAACTCCAAATAGTCCTAAGGTCCTGATTCTCATATAATCAAGGACACTTAAAGCACCCATGGTTTGTTGCTTAGATGTTAGAAAATAGAACATTTCACATTTGTGGTGATAAAGTTGATCGAATCCTGGAGTAATAATTTATTCACTCTTGAACATTTGTGTATTTTGTAAGGTATATGTACGCGATATTGAAGTTTTGTAACACAGTTAACTGCACAATATGAAGTGTTGAATACTTTTATCTAGTAGAAGCATTGGGGCTCATCGTTTCCTATGATATAATGTTTTTGTTATTTGCCAAAACAGAAGTACACCATAACATACCTTCCAGAGAGCCAACGAGTTGTAGAGCGTTCTTTGCAACAGAGATGACTTCAGGGCCAATACCATCACCGGGAAGGAGAGTGATGGAGTAGCGTTTGTTTGGTGTAGAGGCATAGCAGCGAATAGTCGCCAATCTAAAAGGAGCACTGACATGGGGGATGTTGGGATATAATTTGTGGGGCCTCACATGCATCTTCACACAAGAACTAAATAAAGCGACCATCACTGAGACTCAGGCTTAACTTCACAAAGTATGAAGATTTTGGTACCTGAATGTATATATATGTACTACAAGTGAACCACACGACACAAATAAATGTACCACGGAGTCTAAAATTTAGCAGCCTTTTATTAAAGAAAATAAAGCCGTGGAAACATGACTTAATAGATATTATTTTTTTAAAATAATTTCTCAAAGAGATTTCAAATAAGTCTTTCAGCTAAATCTCAAATAATGATAATACTAGTTTTAACATTGAACCAATACTCAATGGCACAATTATCATGGTTTAGGGGAGCGACCCACTACACATATTGGAATTTGGAATCTAATAATCTGATAATCTAATTATGTTGGAACTTTTTTCAAGACTACTTCTTACTTAATCTTCCACTTACACATTAAGTACTTTTTGGCGATGCTTAGAAACATTACAAAAATCTCAAAATCTTAAAAACCAGCATAACCTGTGTACACTTTACTACCCCAAATAAACCAGCATATCACACAAGTTCACCAAATAAAACATCTTAACAAATGATTCGACAATAAATAACCTTTAAAACAATTTCCACAAAGCATCATGTTATAAGTTATGTATTCAAAACAAATCGAACTTCTTTTTTCTCATTTGGAGGCCCTAGACGGAAAATCATTTAATGTTCACATATCATATTAATGTGATTTCTATAACATAAAAAGTCATAAAAATATATGAGACTAATTGAATAAGAACGCAGTACATGAGAAACAAAGCATATCCAATTTTCTGAGTGAGATCATCTATATTTTCTTTCTCACCATTTAAACTCGAATCACCAACAATTAAATTATCATTATGACCATCTACATTCTCATCTCTAATTTTCGCATTCTCATTTTATATAAAAAGTTATATTTTTTCCAGAAAACTTGTGGTTGAGTTATTGAGGCAGATAATTTTTTAGCACTAAAAGAGAGGAATCAGAATCAACTATGAGTCTATGACAGTAAGAAATTTCACAAATTCAAAGTTACGGTGGTGGCGGCACAAGCAATTAAGCAAAGGCACTTTGGGGAAATGCAAATGCTAATAACCAGCCATCTTAAAATTGTGAGCTTCTGTCTACCCTTTCTTGATAAGATAACATTTTTGTATAGCAATACATATTCTTAAACTTTTATATTTGTACCTCATCTAGGCAAACCTTTTTAAAGCGAAAAGCGCTCAAAAGCTATGAAGTGGGGCTTTCTCGCAAAAAGACATGCTTATAATAAAATAAAATAAAATAAAAATTAATTCCCCATTGAGTAAAATAAAATTCAAAAGCATCAAGCGGAAGCCAAAATCCGCATATTTATTACAGTCCATCTTGTTCACATGAAGTAAGCAGTAAAAGTTATTAAATAACATATATTGCCAAAAAAGGTCACAATACAATATAATAAAGATGCGTATTTAACAAAAATTATTTTAGAGTATAAAACAACATCTTTAGCAACAACAAAATCAAATTTAAAAATAACTATTAAAGGAATAAGAGTTTTTATCAAAGTCAAATACAAAAAAATCACAAATTTACAATTGTTCTCTACGCGTTTTAATCAATTGATATAGCTTGATAATGAGATTACTAGTTACTACTTACTACACTAATATCAACTAACTAAATAATTACATATTTACATGAATAATAACAAATCACATTAGAATCTACGAAACCCAAATCACAAATAGTTAAATAAATCAAATTAAATTTAATTTAGTATAACACATTAGAAGTTAGACCCTAAGAATAAAAAATCAATTTGAATATAAAGTTTGCTCACAAATAACACACTTACACGCCTATATTGAAAATAAAGCTAAACAATTAACAAAGTTATGGGCGATTGAGCGAAGAGCAGAATGGAATGAGGCGAGAGGCGAGAGGCGAGAGACGAGAGTGATAAGTAAAGAACCAAATTGGGTCTAGAAAAAATGGGTCTACAAACAATTGATACTATATTACATATAAATATAACTATATAAGTCAAGAACCAAATTGAGTCTAGAAAATTTTGAGAAATACTTTATAATTAAAGGAACAAATGGGTATTAACTCCATCTAATTCCATGAAATTGGAAAGCTGGAATTCGAACCAAAGCCCCCAACTTCAAGAATTGAATATCTAAAGCCTAAAATGGAATTGAAATTACAGAAAAGAACTTCAAGTAGGGTAAAGGTAGAAACCTGGATGAAGAAAATGGAACGGATGGAGTCGACTGCCGATTAGCGCCGTCGTCCTTGCTGAGTTGCTGAGCCGCTGTGGACAGTGGTCGGGAGGCAGTGGAGACTCGGATGTATTTGGCATTTTGATTTTGGGCTGTATTTTTTGGGCTTGGACGGCTGGCCGGCTGCTCGCGAGATGTATTCCGGACAAACGAGATACCTATGGTGGGCCTGACATTTTATTAAGATTTTTTAGGACGGATTTTTATGGAATTTTATCCAACTTAAAATATAGACAAATTATCAATTCGGGAGTTTAAAAAGTGTTAATATATGACCAAAATGATGGAATACAATCAATTTAAGACTTCAATGATTGATATTTATCAATTTATGACCTAATTTGTCATGGATTTATTACTGTTTTTATTTTATAAGATTTAAATATGATTTAGGTTTAATAAAAAAATAAAATTTTGGGAAGAAAAGTTCATCAAAAATTAACAATGGAATTAATAAAAAATTAAATAAATCAAAACTTATGAAATGTTAGGTCCTAGAATTGATAATTCATCCATCTTTCGAGTTTTGAAATGATAAAAATGTTTTACTATATATATATATATATATATATATATAGGAAAATTCTATAGCACATCCTCCGTTTTACTAAATAAAGCCTCCAAAATAAATACTTATGATTTATGAATAAAATTATTTTAAATATCTAATATGCCCCAGCCTCCAACATAGTGTCTAGTTTCATTGCATCAAGTCTTTCTGCTCCACTGTCACCCTTTTACTTTGTATCTCCTCTCAGCCTACATCTCTTCAACGTCTCTCCCCTCTTTCTTCGAAGGGTTTGCAACATCAATCTCTCTTCTTCAGAGTACTCAATAAATGGCGCCTCAATCATATAAAATAAATACTTGAAAGAGCTAGCTTTGAAACAAGGAGGGATATGCTTGTTTTGAAAAAGTTGGAATGAGCTTTGTTGCTTGTTTGTGACCACTGTGCTAAAAATTATTCTAGGCATTCGACTAGTCCCCGCATAAGCGTTAGGCGGTGGTTGATGCCCCGATTTTACTTTAGGCGCTCCGACTAATTGCTTTGGTGCCCAGGTGAATTAGTCGACCGCCTAGAGCGCCTAATTGCTCGTCCAGAGCGCTTTATTGGCCGCCTAAGGCGTCAAGATTCGCCGAACACGTTGTTTTTTGATTTTTTTTCTAATAGATATGTGTGTTTTAACTTTAATAACACATATGAAGAAAGCTACTAGTTGTAGATTCAAAAAAAATTATAGATGTTTGTATATACACTAAAATGTTACTATTGTTTAATAATGTTATTACATAATGAAGTTATGTGAATTGGTATAATATTATTAATGTGACAACTCTATCACTCATTCATCTTAATGTGGATATGTGTAGATTTTTATACACACAAACAAAACAATATTAATCATATTTATGCATAAACATTGATAAAACTATAAGTTTTATGTCTTCGACTAATCCCCGCCTAGGCGACTTATGCCTAGCACCCACGAGTAGCGCCTGATAGGGGTGGACTCGGGCCGGTTCGGGCCCGGTTCAGGCCTGGGCCCGGCCGGGCCTCGGTTCTGTTTTGTTGGGCCCGAGCCCGAACCGGTAGCCACCAGTTCCAGGTCCAGTTCTGGGTCCGGTTCCGCCCCTGGGCCGGGCCATCGGTTCGGTCCAGTTCAAACAGTGACCGGGCCGGGCCGGTTTCGGGTCGGGCCACCCGGCCCGAGTCCACCCCTAGCGCCTGACGCCTTTTAGAAAATTGCTTAAGGTTAAATTAGTAGGAATAACCATTGACGTCTAATAGCTTTGATAGTCAAGGTTGGATCTACCACTACCTCGTCTATCTCTTCTTATATAAAAGCAAAAGAACTTACACGCACAGTACTCCCGCCCATAAATGTCAACTTCACTTCTTCAATATTAATTATATTGCTTCGAAAATAATGTGTTTTCGAGTTATAGGTTCGCCCGGCAGAAGAACTTTTGTGAAAAAGGTATTCCTATTGGTCGAGGGTGGCGGTGTACAAAGTAAAGCCTGAATTTTGATTGGTCCACCGTGCGGTGGCTACTGTAGACTAAATTTGTGATTGGATGTTATCCTTGCTTGCATTCCATTGGTGGAGAAGGGTGGTGTGAACAGAGAATGATATGAGACATACATTTCGTGGGATGCATTACTACGTCAATGCTCAGCTATAAAAGCCCACCTTCAGCAACATCTTTTTCCCAACTATCCTCACTTTAGTTGTAATAGCAAACACCGAAATACACTTTGATAGGTAATTTGGTCTTGATTATTTATTCCCAATTGATTGGAGAGAAAGGGAGTAATAAACGATGTCACCATGTCAAACCAAAAGAATTACACAGGCACGTTATTGTCTCTGTACAGATCTTAGCCGCTTACCTAAATTTGAGGTAATCGGAACGAACAGAGGTTGTTGTTGCTTGGCTTGTGTGCATGTCGGCTGTTTGCATGTGTCGGTGTCAGGAGAGGACGGAGAAGGACCGAAGCGGCGGGATGAAGATTAGGGAGGCGATGCTGTAAAGAGTAAGAAGAGGAGGGAGGGATGCGATAGGTTTGAGAGGCTACCAGAACAATAAGAAATTAGGGAGATAAATTATTCTTTTTCTTTTGTAAATTTAGGGTGTGTGACACGTGTTATAACAAATCATACGGGGTACAAAGTATATACGGAGTAGGTTTATTTAATTTAGATAGCCAAATCTCTAAAAAAACATTTTTCTTACAAAACAAATCAGCGTCATATTTTTTGGGTACAACAATTGTTTCACTCTGTTCAAAAAAGATTTGTCACTCAAAAATAATACGGAGTACATAGTAACACTTTCGTTTTTTTTTGAAAGGAATTGCTTATTTTTAAAAAGGTAATCAATCTATTTAATAAAATCCTTAAATCGACATCAAAATAGACATTTGGAATTCACTGATCTCTCTTTAGTTCCTATTTTAATTATAGATTACTCTTATTTACTACTTTTGTCTCATTCTCATGATAAAATGATACAATTATTTAGATAATAACTAAATAAGGTAGTTTAAATAAATTTTGAGAAATTATTTCAACATGTACACATTATAATGAGGTAGTGTTGATAATTGTGGTGTCATAAATGTATTATATTTAATATTTAATGATTAATTTGTCTTTTAAAATTGTTAATTGTCTTCTAAAATGAGAATGATGAACCTTTCTATGGGAGAAGGCAGTAGTATACTTTTAGATTAGCTGTTTAATTAGCACGTAATTATTCGAATATGGCGTTTTCAAATACAAGTATAATATTTTAAACTTTTTCATTATTTACGACATCATAGGTTTATGAATTAGTCGTTTTAAAGGATTTTTTTTTAAAAAAAATTGTTTTAAAAAATCGTACAAGGCTGCAATAATAGGCATAATATGAAGTGGCCCATTTCAATATACAGGATTACAGGCTCATCGGCAAATTTATTGGCCTGGATTCATCACAAATGTAAGATATCCCAAATATGTCAAAGTGACGTGTTTGAAATTGTAGGACCTGTTAAGCATCTCCCATAAATTTATTTATATTTGTTGTATAATTTAAGTATGACATAACACACTTTTACATTTTTGTACACCCCCTATTTGTCTGCTTACACGTGCAATTCGTATAAAAAACACAATTCCTATAAATATATCGCCACCCTATTTTTTTAGAAGAAAATTGCCTATATTAGTATTCAAACAATAATAAACCTTTCACTAGACCACTTCCTTTCCCATGACTATAAATATAAGTCAAAGATTGTCGTTGTCGCGAGTTGGTCAACTTTACGTGATTATGTCAAGGGTATTCAATCATCAAGCAGTAAAAAATCACAATTTAAACGATGACACGAGAGCATTATTGAAACCGAGAATGTTGTGTATAGAGAAGTGTTTCACAACATTTAACATGGAATGTAAGGTGTTTTCAAATTATAATGCATGTTACTTACTATTTTGTGAGGCTATATAAAAATTGGGTACTACTAGATAATTATTGGTAAATCATATTGAATATATTTCACTTTACGTTACTTTTTATTATTGTACATAGTATAGTTCTAAACAATTCAATTACAATTAAAAGTTTGTTTTTTATTTCGAATTTATCTAAATTAATTATACTAATGAAATTTCACCAACCTTGCATCGCATGGGTGTTATACTAGACTCAGTGGCGTATCCAGGAATTTCCGCGAGTGGGGGCGAATTCGTACTAAAAATTTATTATCTAAGAAATTTCACTAACAGTGAAACAATTTTAAAAAATATTGTAAAATTATCTATAAATAACAAAATATTTGTTCAATAAAAAATTTATGATATCATACTTAATAAATTTCACTATATCAGTAATAAACAAGTCACCAATTTTTTATTTTATTTCATACTTCCTCCATCCCGAAATAACTTTCCTACTTTCCTTTTCGGTCCATCCCAAAATAATTGTTTTGTTTCCCCTTTTGGCAATAATGTGTTACTCATATTAATTCACATTTTTCTACTCAAATCTCAATCACAACTTAATTTTACCTTTTCAATCACTTTCTTAAAACTTGTCCTAAAGCAAACAAGACGTTTACTTCGGGACAGAGTGAGTATTATGTTAATAAATAATGAATCATATAAGGGAGGGATGTATTTAGAATTAATTTAAGTTGTGGATATAATGATATATATAAGTATATATAGTAAAACAAATGTAGAAAATAGTTTATATTAATTGCAAAAATGAACTTTACAAAATATATGTGAAACTAAAATTCTAACTACATTAAAATATTTTAAATCTTACAAATTAGAAAAAAAAAATATTGTTATTATTTTAAATCATAACAATAATGTATAATAACCACTTAAATTCATTCAAAAGCTTCAAAAGGACCAAAATGAGAAATGTATAATAAAAAGTAGACCAGGGAATCGATCCCTCGACCTAGGGATAGGGTGTTGCTCGGCTGAATGCACGAAGTACATCAACCGCTTGGCCAAACGTTACTTCACTCACAAACACCATAATTAGTGTATAAGTCCTTCATATGCAGCACAAAAAAATATAATTGTAGATTAAATATATATGTATATATAGGGGTAGGGTGGGGTTTGAGTGGGGGCAGCTGCCCCCCCTGCCCCTACGTTGGATCCGCCCCTGATACTAGTTGAATAAAACAGTGCAAATGATGGTAACCACCAGTACCTAAAATTGACGATTGGCAAGAGAGATTACTCGCCACCACATGAAATTTGCTGAGGTTCTTTTTTTTTTTTATCTCGTCTTTCCCTTGCGATTTTATTTTGAATTCATCATCTTTATGCCGAATGTTCTTCTCCAAACAGAAGCAGCTAGATCTCAGTGATATTTACGGTCATTCGTTTAACTTTCCTAGACCCAACTTCATCCAGGTTGTCGAAGATGAAGCAAAGACCATCACTTTTTTAGCAATGGAATATGGTCAAGAATCGTCTGATTGAGGTAGGAGTTTTTGTTCTACTTGGCAATACAAAAATTAACACTTAAGTGATCCTTTAAGGAAAATACGCAGTACATGAAATCATTCTTAGGCATCGTGGATATAGGACATCACTTCTAGGCATCCTGAAAATTAGGTTATAGCCAACTTTATATTTCCTGTCTTGAAAACAAGACATTCCGGTCCCTTCATCGTGTGAAGGGAAGAACACAGAGATTCAGGCTATGAAGATTTAAATGCTTGAAGAAGCACCATTCTTTTGGTCAAATCTAGTTTGAATAGACCATGCTGCCCCCGATAGACTCCAACCCTCAAAGCTTCTTTCCCTTCTTTGGCAGCTGCTTCTCTCAACTCGGACAGTAAACCAGCTCCTACTAAATCTGGATTTATTTTATGAGTTGTATTTAAATCTTGCTCAGATTTGTCCATGGGCTCTGCTAATTGCTGCTTTCTTTCCTCAGAAACGTCTTCTTCTTCTTTTCTAATGTCATCTTCATTAGGATCAGAACTTCCGCTTCCCCACCATCTATAGGAGAGAACCGACAAGCCAACATCTGATGGAAACCCATACTTAAATTCATCTGAACCTCCTGCTGATGTAGTAACTGCTTTTGGCAAGTTTAAAGTTTGCGCACTCGTGGTTCCTTGTTGCCGAGGAACAACTGCTGACTTTGGGACTTCATGTGCATTGCCACCATCTTTGTTTTGCACCGGGGAGATTCTACTATTGAGTTTTGCAAAGGAATATTAGATTGAAAAACAGATATTAGGAATGCTCACATGACTTTTGTGAGAGGAGATTTAGAAGTATGCAATATGTTGTTATTAATTACAATCGCCAGAAGACACACTATACCTAACTATGGAAGCTGTTTACATATCTCTTGTACATGAATGACACAATAAGTCAGGAAGATGTTATATGAACTAATGAACTAGCATTTACAAGTGCATGAGATTGAAGTGTTTCTACCTAAAAAGTATAGAAAACAATCCCCATTCACTTACATGACTGAGGAGGGCATGGTAGACTAATTACAGAGAAGAGTTAATCTTTTCTCCAGCAGCTTCTTTGGGCAACTCAACCTGTTTTTCCTTGACAACACTTTTCTTTTATTTCATTAATACTCTTCCCAGAAAGAAACTGAAACCTCACAAGTCACAACAACAAAAAACTGAAAAAGTTGAGAAAAATGTCATTTTGCAAGAAGCTTGAGGATAGGTTTAACAAGTTTTGGTCTTTCTGAAAACCACATAAGTGATCTATGGCATACCTTTCTGTGTGGCAATCTCACAACACCATTCTCATAGCATACTTTTTATAGCACTTGTACAAACACCTGTAAAGCGAATGCCAATCACTTCATATTGCCTAATTTTAATCTGATTACGTTAATTACTATGCTAATTATGCACTTATTATGCTCTGATGAGGCATGAGATTTGTGAGATAGAGAAGGAGAATTACCTAATGGATCAGCAGGATCGGAGAGAAGAAGAGAGACGAGCTTCGAAACCTCGTTGAACGTGAGTGGTTTAGGGTCCGTTTTGTGATTCGGGCTCGGAATCCGATTTGAACCTGTAGCCGAGAGGGTATATGAGGGCGTGGTGACAGGCTGCCACGTGTAACTTTTATTTTATGTTATTTTATGAAATTACCCACTATATTCTTTGGTAATCAACTTTTGCCCCATCCGAGAGGGGCCTAATCAGAAAAAAAAGGATTATTCTACTTCCGTTTTTTTCTGTTGCTCGGAAGGGAAGACTGATAATAATAGCTCAAACGATCTCTCCGCCCTGAATCAATGGCTTCCCCGGCGATTCAGAGATCCCCGTATTCAACCGCCGCATCTCCCACTGCTGCTTCTCCCCTCCAACGTCTCTCCAATCTCAAGGATAGATCACTGAATGCAACGACTCCGTCTGCCGCCGGGATAACTCCCACTCCAACCACCGCAGTCACTCCGGCGTTACTCTCCCCTTCACCTGCATCACCTCTTGACTCGTTCGCATCCGACCAAATTTTCTCCGCATTCCTATCTCCTGATTTTGATTCGGCCCGCTTCTCCTCTGCCGCTCTCTCGTCCGGATCCGCCGCATCCCGCATTGAGAAGCTCCAGGAAGGCCTGCGTCTCCTCGATTTTCAGCTACGTCATGAAGTCCTCTCCCGTCACGAGGATCTCCTCAACCAGCTCTCTTCTATACGAGCCACGGACTCTGCTCTCTCCACCCTACGATCCTCCGTCTCCTCCCTCCAGTCTTCTGTACAACGAGTGCGGTCTGAGCTCTCCGATCCACATCGCGTTATTGCCACCAAAACTCGCCAGCTCTCAAACCTCCACTCAACCTCTGAGCTTCTCCAGTCCACAATTCGCTTCCTCCGCCTTTCGAAAAAGCTTCGCGATCTCATGGATTCCACACAAGACCAGGAAAAGCTCGATATATCGAAAGCTGCCCAGCTTCATTTCGAGATACTGTCACTCCATAACGAGCATCATTTGTCTGGGATCGATGTAGTGGATTCGGAATTGAAATGGGTAACTGAAATTGGGCAGAAATTAAGGAGTGAAGGAATGCGTGTGTTGGAGAAAGGGCTAGAAGATCTGAACCAGGCAGATGTAGGGGCTGGCCTGCAAGTTTTTTACAACATGGGGGAACTGAGAGGGACTGTGGATGGATTGGTGAGCAAGTACAAGGGGTTGGGTGTGAAGAGTATAAACACATCGTTGGATATGAAGGCAGTATCTGCAGCTGGGGGGTATGGGCCAGGGGGTGTGCAGAGGAGTGGCACCCCCCAGCTTGGGGGAAGCGCCAAGGCTAAGGAAGCTCTGTGGCAAAGGATGAGTTCTTGTATGGATCAGTTGCATTCCATTGTTGTTGCAGTTTGGCATTTACAAAGGGTGTTGTCCAAGAAAAGAGATCCGTTCACTCATGTTTTGCTTCTTGATGAGGTCATGCAGGTTAGTGAGAACTGGAACTTCTTATTTCTTCTCAATTTTCTCGATTCTGTTGGGCTCAACTCTAGAAAGCCAAAGAGATACAATCAAATTTTACTTATTCTTTAAGTAAGACTTTGGGTAAATTTATGTCTGCTCTTGAAAGAGAGTTTCCATTTGTGTGTATACTAATGATGCTATGTGTTTTGAGTAAAAACGTCCTTAATTTGGTTGTGTGGCTGCACGTTTGTTCTTGTCTCCAATGAGATTATTTGTGACCATTTCTTTCTTTTTTACCTATATATGTGTTTACAGTGTCACTATGTTTGGGTGAATGTTCTGTGGATATGTGGCCTTAAATTTGTTTTTCATAATTGCTTGGTGGTGACCCGTATTTTCTTTTAAGCAAGTCTAGCCAACTATTAAAAGTTGTATGCATAAAGTAGTGCGTATGCTTTGATTAGATTATCTTTTTCTCTTTCCAGTATTTGGCTATGGGTTCATTAGCAATGGTGAAGTTTTTACTGAAAAATTTCATTTCATATCATTACAATTCTGCACCATTCTGTTGGATCCGAAAAATTCCACTTGTGGTTGAAAGCACTGATACATTTTCCAATTTAAGTATAGTAGTGAGCAAAACACACACAACCACCAGTCAATAATCAACACCGTTAAAGCAAGATGTAGCCAATGGTTTGGTTGAATTACTTCAACCATTATAGGAGAAGGATGCATTGGCCAATTGCTTAAATAGTGAGCTTGCTCTTCAAAGACTGCCTTATACTGTGGTTTATACGGTTAAAGGTTTGGTACAAGTCAGAATGGAGTTTTTGTAGAGTTGTAGCTCTCATTTAAATAATGCACTTAAAGTTTTTGTAGAAATTGTTTCACATTTTTCTTGAAACTTGTTACAAGAAAAGTGTGAAACCTTTTTTTTTAATTCATTAAAAATGTTCTTTTAATCCACTGTTAATTCATTAAAAATGTTCTTCTAATCCACTGTTAAAAATACATGTAGAGCTCCATGAGGAGTGACTAGTGAGTCTCCCTCAGTCCCAGAACTTTCTTTGCAATTTTCTTTTTGAGATGCCCTAAAATTTTCTTCTCATATTCTTCTTTTTAAATCAAGCACAACGATACAATTTCACTTTCTATGTAAGTGTGCCAATTAAACTGGGAATACAGTTTTGGGATGGAGGCAGTAGCATTTACTTTCTTTTTTTCTTTGGTGATATGTGGACATGTTATAAACCTTGTGATATCCCTTGACCTCAAAGTTGATTGAACTACTTCACTCTGCAATTCCTATCTTTGTTGTACTTCTCTCTTTCAAAATGAAAAAATGTGTAAAATGTGATCTGCTGATTATGCTGAGTCAGGACACCATGATATTTCAGGGTCTGTTTGATTAAGATTGTTTCAAATTTATATATTTTTTTAAAACTTTTAAACTATAATAAACTTTAATTAAGCTATATTTGTTTAGAACATTAAAGGAGGGTGAGAGTGGGAGTAGGGTCAATAGGGTGTGAGAAACCCAATAATACTTCCTTCTTTTGAAAAGTATTTATCTTCTGTTGCACTTATTTACTTTTCTTATTAACACATGTTATCTTCATACATAATCAGGATGACGATCCTATGCTAACAGTGCGTATTTGGGAGGCACTTGTGAAATCTTTTGCAAGCCAGATGAAATCCACTTTCACTGCTTCCAGTTTTGTGAAAGAAACCTTCACGGTTGGGTACCCGAAGCTCTTGTCTATGATAGAGAACCTACTCGAAAGAATTTCACGTGACACGGATGTGAAAGGAGTTCCTGCAGCTCTTACTTCTGAAGCTAAAGATCAAATGATTTCTGCCATTGAGCCGTTTCAGACTGCCTTCTTGGCACTCTGCTTGAGCCGCCTCTCTGATCTTGTTAATTCTGTGTTCTCCATGTCTAGTCGGGGAAGCATTCCGTCAAAGGAAAATATCTACAGGATCATATCACGAATTCAGGAGGAGATCGAATCCGTACATATGGATGCTCGGCTGACTCTTCTCGTCTTGCGTGAGATTAACAAAGCCCTGCTTCTGCTATCAGAAAGAGCAGAATATCAGGTATAATTTTTTAAACTTCTCACCCCAGCCAAACAGATTCTTAATTGCCCATTATTATTTCACGGCTTCTATATTCTTTGTCCCAACAAATATTGCATGTTTGTAACTTTGTTTTGGATCCCTTCATTTTTTTGGTTATTCATCCTGTAATTTAAACTGTTTTCTTAGCCCTTCTTCTTAAACCTTCATTTAAAAACAAGGGAAAAGGGTCAGATAGGGTCTCAAACTTACATAAAAAGGTCAAATAAGGCCTTATATAGGAGGCTCTGTCCAGCCGTCACCATTTGGGCGGTTCTTGGTGGAGTTTTTTGATGAATTTTTTTGAGAATCTTATTCATTAAGTGTAGTTTACTCATATCAAATTTGAACTAAAACTTCAATCAGGAAGGCATTCAAATGAATTCTTGGAGATAACTGCGCAGTTAAAAGCGCAGTTATCTTCAAGAATTTATTTGAATGCCTTTCCGATTGAAGTTTTGGCTGACATATGGAATGAGTAAACTAGACTTGATGAATAAGATGCTCAAAAAATTTCATCAAAAAATTCCATCGGGAACCGCCCCAAATGGCGATGGCCGGACAGAACCTCCTATATAAGGCCTTATTTGACCTTTGTATGTAAGTTCGAGGCCCTATTTGACCCTTTTACCTAAAAACAATAAAGGTTTAAACAGAGTGGTAATGATGACCTTTTGTAGAGTCATGTGATGTTTTTAACTAAGGTTGTTGAAGAGGGATTCAAAAGAGAACTTTGTAAATTGATGAATCGCCAAAAAAAACTTCAGTGACATAAAACAAAATGTTATATTGACAGAGATGAAAAACATATTTGAGCCTTCTTTATACACACAAATTTTACAAAATTTTATAACTCACTGAAAACTATTATGCGAGTTGGTCTACAACAGAACTCATGTTTCACACTTCCAGATTTTGAAAAAAAAGCATCTTTTAAAATGGTGGGAAAAGCAATACTGGAATTGTTCTGCGTGGCACATCAGTTTTTTTCAACACAGGTTGACGGTGAGGGACTTATAATCAAATGACATTAATTACAGGGATGATGTTTAACAAAATTTAAGTTAAAAAATTGCATTTTCCCAGGGACTTATAAATGCTATATTCAGAAGGATGAAAAACATATTTAAGCCTGTAAATTTGAATAAAGTGAAACCCTACAAGACATTGTGTTCCTTATTTTTTTGATATTATTTTCCTGGGCATCAGATATCCGCAGGACCTGAAGCACGCCAAGTCACGGGCCCAGCCACCTCTGCACAGCTAAAAAACTTTGCATTGTGTCAGCACCTCCAAGAAGTTCATGCCAGGGTGTCATCACTCGTGGCTGGACTTCCAACCATTGCATCCGATGTTCTCTCTCCTGCATTGGGTACAATCTATGGTGTGGCGGGCGATTCTGTCACATCCTTATTCCAAACAATGTTGGATCGCCTAGAAGCTTCCATCTTAAAAATCCACGACCAGAATTTCGGGACACTTGGCATGGACAACAACAATGCATCACCCTACATGGAGGAGTTACAGAAGAGCATTGTCCATTTCCGGTCTGAATTCTTGTCAAGACTATTGCCACCTTCTTCTTCAAATCCCCTCTCCTCCTCCACAGAAACCATATGCACCAGGCTAGTGAGGAGTGTAGCATCTCGTGTTTTGACATTCTTTATCCGACACGCCTCACTGGTCAGACCGCTATCAGAATCTGGCAAGCTGAGGATGGCGAGAGATATGGCTGAGCTGGAGCTAGTGGTTGGTCAGAACCTTTTCCCGGTCGAACAGCTCGGTGGGCCTTACAGGGCACTCCGAGCGTTCCGCCCCGTCATTTTCCTTGAAACATCTCAGCTCGAATCGTCCCCACTTATTCAAGATCTTCCTCCAAGTGTCATCCTTCACCACCTGTTCTCGCGGGGCCCGGATGAACTGCAGTCGCCTATGCAAAGGAACAAGCTGTCTCCTTTGCAGTATTCTCTTTGGATGGATTCACAAGGGGAGGATCAGATTTGGAGAGGGATAAAGGCAGCATTGGATGATTATGCTGCAAAGGTGCGGATTAGGGGGGATAAGGAGTTCTCTCCCGTTTATCCGTTGATGTTGAAACTTGGTTCTTCAGTTTCAGGCAATGAAAGTTGAACCCTTAAAAGATACGGAATAGAATTTACTTCTTGTAAGGTTTAGCTCATTACACTGTAAATTTTAAAGCAGGTGAAACGCTCTTGATTCTTTCATTTTGTAGCGGAAGATTCGAATTTGTTAGAGAGTAAAAAGTAATTATTTATTGTGGTTATTTGATTAGTCTCTGACTCTCTGCCTTTGGTGGAGTGGAATGTTGGTTTTGTCATTGTGGTTATTTTTAAGCGATTTAAAACTCTGAACAATCTGGATATTCTCTTGGCGAAATCACCAAATAGAATTGCCCCGTTGCATGTTCGTTGTGAAAAGTTGCGCATTACATCAAAATGCAAGTTATGATGTCACCTGGTACCAAGCAGACTTCATCGCCCAATGAATAAGGCGCTGGTCTACGAAACCAGAGATTCTGGGTTCGATCCACAGTGGAGTCACTTCTTCAAAAGTACTTTTTTGAGTATCACGATTATTTACCCCATCTGACCATCTCCTTTACAAAAACAGAATGCACATTTACCCCAAATGTCATAAAAGCATGGATATTTATTTAAGAATTGTAATCATAACTTCAATTTAGTATACAAATTTATGGTATTTTGAGGTAATTTCAAGCATTGTGGCTGGCTAGGGCAATATTTTCTTTTTCTCATCTCCAGGAAGTGTTTCTTGATATGTAGGTTGTACTTCTTCATTGCTGCCCTTAACCTTTCCGGCTTTCTTGATATAGTTCCACTTTTCTTGAAATAGATACAAAAAAACGACAAGAGAAATCTGAGCGAAGAAGATCATGGTCCAAAAGTTTATACTTCTTGATGTTCTCTTGTGATAGGCTTGTAGGCCAGTGTATGTGTTCACAGCTCCCAGTAATGAGAGTGAAGTCCCAAGTAACCAATGACCAAAAAACCATCCACTCCTTCCTCTCCTTTCCCTACACTCAAAGAATGACTTAAAAGTTTACAATATTTATATCTCATAATTAATTTGAGTTTCTAATGTATGAAGATGCCTTACCGGTTTGGCCGTAGAATCGCAGTTAAGGTTTGCAGCCACACGGCGATGTAAAGGGCTAATCCCATTCTCTGGTGGCTGTTGATAAAGGAGTTGTCGAAGTTTTTTATGGACAATGCTGCTCCTACGGTTGCAAGGAGGACAACAAGTATCTGTAGAACATACTCTCCTATGAAATCAAATCTTATGATTCAATTTGTGAAAGGTTTATATCATTTGTTAAGTAGTCTGTTAAGTATAAAAACTACAAAACCACACAATTTGGGGATGAAGAAAGTGTATTGAAATATGAAGCCCGCAACAAAACGAAACAAATCATTTTTTTGGCTCTTCCATATGAAGTTTCTTGGTCTGCCCCTTACCATGTGAACCATTTGACAATTATTGCAGCTTAATTAAAGGATCTGATAGAGGTTGCTGTGTATGATGAAAAAGACTAAAGTGGAGATGATTGTAAAATGTGAATACTTTGTTCTATTTTCATGCAAAATAAAATGGGAAATGTATATTAAAAATATCAACCCTCTTGGATCACACACTGATGTGAAGTAGAAAAATAAAATCAACGGGGTAAACCGTTGCCCAGAATAATCAACGAAAGAATCCGTTGCCCAAGCTAATTTAGCTAATAAATCTGAATTTTATTCATGATCCATTGAAAAGCCCTGCGTGGGTATAAATAGTACTACAAACATGAAACATCCTAGTTCCAGTAGGAAACTAAATAAGCTAAATAATTGTACGTAGTCTATCCCAGTGAGAAACAGACCTGCGCACAAAGCCCAAGGGGAGGGGAAAACATACGCACCTAGCCTAAGGGAATTCTAATATACTCCGTAATAAATAACAATAATAAAAGAACTAACTTAATTGAAGCTAATAATTAAATTAAAAACTCAGCCCACAGATAACCCAGCTCGATCATATCCGGCCCACGGAAGTGGGCCCAAGCCCATTCCCGCCCCATGCTCTTCCCGCTCTCTATCACACACAATTATCTTGATTCCGCGAATTGTAATTAAAGTACTTGCCTCTAGGACAATATGTGAATAGAACATGGTGATCTTCATCTTCCTTCCAAATTCCTCTCTTTGAGACATTCTTATAACCAAAATACCAATAGGCATCAAGAAGCCTAGGGAAGCCCATAGGAGACATCCATGAATTTTTATTTGAAATAGAAGCTGTGGACTTATTACCTGAAATTCAGTATTTAATTATTATTGTTGCTTGATATTCCTACAACAATAGTGTTCTCTTGTACACATTTCTTGTAAATCTATGCTAGAACTAATGACAAACAAGAACCGACTTCTCTATATGTAAAATATAAGTCTAATTTCTTTGCTTTTAAAGGACTAGTTTAATTAGCAAATGTCTTATTGATATTTACTATAACTGTTTGAAGAAAGAAAATCTCAAGTGAGGGAGACTAGATACTTGAACCAACTAAGCTACTCAAATACATAAAAACTAGGAAATTTTTCAGAAACCCAAAGTAAAATATGTAGTCATTAATTTGAACATCTATCAAAAGAAAATTTGAACGACTAAAAGTGAATATAGTGAAGCATAAACTTAGATGAAAAAGCTAGTAATGGGGCAAGGCATTACCTGAAGAAGCTTGTACTCGTTTTCCTTTGTATGGTTCATGCCTTTTTCTGCATGTCCTTGAGGCAATAAACTAGCCATGCATTGAATGAATACAAGCTTTAAAAGAGTAATTTGTTGTAACGAGAATAGATCATGAACTTTAGAAGAAGAGAGCAATTTTTTGAAAGATTGGGGCATGTTTTACTGATTGTATTGCCTATACTGTAATGAGAGCTGATTGTTATAGCATATATGTGTGAATGTGATGCTTTGATGGCAAAAGATGCTAATAAGGGAGAGTTTGCAATTGCTTCAACTTTAAAGAAGTGATTTTTTAAAGTAATTTTGGGAAAAGTGATTAATAGTAAAAGTTGGTAGTGTTTGAAGAAAAAGTGATTCTGAAAAAGTAAAAGTTGGTAGTGTTTGGTAAAAGAAGTACTTTTTGTGTAATAGAAAAAGTGAAAAGCAGTTTAAAGCACCCTTCCACCTGCTTCCAGCTTTTAGCTTTTAAGTGATTAATTTAAGCAGAAGCTGTCATTTGAAAACACTTTTTTTAACTTTTTTTAAGCCAAAAGCTGAAAAGCATTTTTTTTAATCAAATGCAAACACTCCCTAAGACACAAAGAGGAAGCACTAGAAGTTGCCCCCTATATATCCAATTGCATCCCACTTTTAATAAATTAAAGAGCTTATAACAAAAAGTCAATACCATTCTTAGGGAGTGTTTGCAATTGCTTCAACTTTAAAAAAGTGATTTTTTAAAGTGATTTGGGGAAAAGTGATTAATAGTAAAAGTTGGTAGTGTTTGAGAAAAAAGTGATTCTGAAAAAGTAAAAGTTGGTAGTGTTTGGTAAAATAAGTACTTTTTGTGTAATAGAAAAAGTGAAAAGCAGTTTAAAGCACCCTTCCACCTGCTTCCAGCTTTTAGCTTTTAAGTGATTAATTTAAGCAGAAGCTGTCATTTGAAAACACTCTTTTTAACTTTTTTTAAGCCAAAAGCTGAAAAGTGTTTTTTTTAATCAACTGCAAACACTCCTTTAATTAGGTGAAGTGGCCTGGACTGCTTTGTGTCATAGCATACACCTCAAAAGTTCTTTATTGGAATGTAGGTTAGTGTTTGATTGGTCTAATAAACTTATAATTTCATATATCTTAGCTTCATAAAACATAAAAAAGTAAAATATGACACTTCCACATGTATGCATCTCATATGTGCAAACAGAAATGTATAAACACATGCATGTGAAATAATACTTGCATGCATCTCATATATTTCTCGTTAAAAAATGATTTAAAAGAGTAATTATACGTGTATTTTAGAAGCTTTTTAAAAATTTGAAATATTGTAATTATACACTTTTTGTTTGAGGAAATGGTCAGTTTGATACTCGAATTTGCATAAAAAGGTTCAAATAAGTCCTTACTGTCCGGCCGTCGCCATTTGGGGCGGTTCCCGGTGGAATTTTTTGAGCACCTTATTCATGAAGTCTAGTTTATTCATACCAAATTTCAGCTAATACTTCGGGAAGTTAAAAGCGCATTACAAAAAGTCATTTACAACCCCAACTCAATTTATCATCCAATTGATACTGGTTCTTCATTCTTGGGCTTGAATTTAAATGGAGCGAAGTTCCGTAAGCCCATCAAAACCCGCCGCAGTAATTTGTGGGAGTTGAACGTTACGACACGTCAGCGCGACTTTCTGGTGGCATCTCTGGAAGATTTCTGCTAATCATCGCTCGGTGGCATTCCTTTAGTTTGCTTCTCTCCGCAAGCAAGGTAATAGAGAGCGAATTTCACCTTCATCATCACGACTCAAGCTCTGAGCTGCTGATTCAAATAATCGATTTCTCGCAAATCAGATCTCTTTCTCTTAGCCGGGGAGCTGAACGATGTCTTACGCCTACCTCTTTAAGTACATTATCATCGGCGACACCGGTAATTTTCTTCAGTATGTTTACTTTCTAGCTTCGCGTTCTCTGCCAGATTAGAATTTCAGTTTCACTTACAAATTGACAGTTTTCTCTGTGCGTAGGGACGGTTTTTGCTTGTAGCTCTGTTAAATGGTTTATGTTATGCTATTCTAGATCTCAGGAATTTTGCTACTTTAATATAAAATCATTTCATAATGTGACAAAGTTCTGTGATATGGTTATATGAAACTTTATGCTTCCGTCCTGTAGTCTAATGTTTGTTCTTGTTCTCTCTTTTTCACTACATCTTCTTTTCTTGTCCGGTTCCTTTCATCTCACTGCCTACGGTCTACTCATCCAAGCATGGTGTTGAGATCATTACTTGAGATTTGGGGCAATGATTTTGTATGTAGAAATGTAAAAAGTGATCGCCTGAAGTATATAACTTCATCCATGTTTTTGTATTTAATGTTCTGTGAGGTTTTAATTATTTACAGTTTAATGTTGTATTATTGGAATAGTGCTAATGGTTATTGAATAATATGTTAAAAGACTTGCATTTTATGATTTTAAAACAAAAGTGTATTCCATTATTCAAGTTCAAAAATTATAGGAAAGTATTTAAGGATAAGTAAAAGGCTAATATTATTACTATTTGGCAATTTAAGTTTGAGCATGATTGTTTCAAATCTATCTATTGTTATGGTATTACTTAAGGTTTATTTGGATGGGTCGATGGCTTTTTTTGGAGCGGCTTAGTCCATACCTTGACTTTTATTTGAGTTTTT